TAGTTTTTAAATTTAAGCTGTTATAGTTTTTAAATTTAAATAATAAATTATGTTTGGCATTATGACCATTTGGCCCTCTGTTATAGATTGTTTTTTGTGACAGAGCTATGTTTGGCCATCGGTTGGAAATGGTAAGAAATATGGTCGTGTATTAATTATTCATTAAAATATTAATTTCTTGGAGGTCCAGAGGGCTAAACGATCCTCCTTCGGTTAGAGATGGTCTAAATGCATTAATTTACTTTCGAAAATCATTTATTTATTCTTACATGAAAGTTATGTGACACATGGAAACGAACACTTACATTGCCCATCCCAAACTAAACTAAACCAACTTACAAGAACAAGGAATCACACACATTCGTCTGCTAGGAAGACAAAAAGGGCTGAGCCGATCGATTATAACAGATAAATCTATAGTAATTTAAGAACTTGAAATATCCATCCAATCTTAGACAATTCCAACATACAATGACAGCAGAAACTAGCCAAAACATTATTTAATAAAACTTCGATACAGAATCATCGACTAATAGAGATAATGGTTGACATAAAACATGTAGTTAAAGTTAAAAGGTTTATAAGAATTATAAATTTTGTATTAATATATACATTGAAAAAATCAAACTCTCAATCTATTATAATTCTAAAGTAGTACCCCAACTGGATTTTGTCAAAATACTTGTGTTGAATATGAAGAAATTGTGGTTTTACTATAAAACCAATTGATAATATGGAAAATAGTTCAATCTATTATAAGTCATTGCAATGTTTATCATTTCACCGATAAGTACTCTTTTACCTTTGATACCATGAAGAAATTGAGGTTCCACCATATAACCAATTGACAATATGAGAAGTAGCTTAATCTCTTATAACCTCTTATAAGGTTTCTCTTTTCACCTATGCGATACTCTTTTACCTTCATATCCTTACAAAATCAACATGAAATATCTTATGGTAAATCGGTCATTTGCTTCAATATTCTAAGAGCATTGAGTTGTGATTATTTATTTGGTTAATACAACATATACCTGTCAATTAGTACTACGATCTATTAGTATTTTTTTTCACTTGTAAGTGTGAGGTATTAGGTTTGATTCTCGTCAAGGACGAATTTGAACTAAGTTATTATGGTTGATCCAATGTGAAGCTTAGCCCACTCCTACACCCCTTACTGTAAATAATATAAACCATATGCTTAAATGGTCCGGAAGCTCCGAATGGAAAGATCCGAAGGAATCTGGATCCCAACCGCAGACTGCAACTTCTTTAGTGATTTGGATTGCACGGTCAAAGGACACGTGGCCAAGAAATTGTATCTGGAGCGCAGGGACTAGGAGACCTAGATTGTTAAAGAGAAATAGATCCGGACCTTCATTTGTGTAAGGTGAGTTAGTGAAATAGGTTAATAAAAGCCATACGATTTAAAGTGAGTGGTCTGAACCTCCTGGTCCGTCGACTCTAGACACAGATATCTGAGAGGATCTTAACTCTTCTTGCATGTCAATTTTATTAGTCAGAACAATAAAAAAATTAATTCACCTTGGACTTCACTACTATTATTGGACGGATAATGCTAGATGACTAAATTTTTAAACCAAATGATGTATCACCAATAAAAAATAAGCACATTAATCAGCACTTGAGTAATAATTCAATCATCAACATCTACATCATTTGGTTTACAAAACTTGGTTTAAAATTTTGATCTCCCTATCATTAACCCTTATTGGACACAAATTTAAAACAAGCACGATGATCACTTACATTAATAAATAAAAGAATAATGCTTGTGTCTCTGGAGATTTACTTGTAGACTTACGATTTGCGAACTTTTATCATCTAATCATCATAATTTGAACTATTCACTCTCTTTATCATCATCTAAATATCATATTTGCAAAAAATCATTTAATTTGAAGATCATTTAGTCATCTATATGTGTAAAACTAATCAATAACTTTGGTAACAAGTAATTTTTCAATCGTAAACTTTTATATTTTTACATATATGATTTTTAGATGATGATCAAGATCCTTTGACTATGGTCTCCATCATTATTAAGAAAGCGGTTGTGACAATGTTTTTTTTTTTAGTACATTGATATTTTTACATACTATGGGGAGAGGTAGTTCGACTAAGCCATACAATGAGTAACTTAATTTGATATCAAATTCGCCATTCACGAGATTTGAACCTAAAAGCTTTCACTTCCAAATGAAGAAGAATATTACTGGACCGTAGTACTAAGTGACGTTACAATGCTACATTTTAATAAAATAAAAAAATTGACGAATCTCCCGGTTTTGTACATAATAAATTAAGGGCCTCAGACTTTGGTAGAATATGATACCATCACCACAATATTTTCAGAAAGCCTTTCCACACAACAATCAAGGCCACCAAAACACCAAAAAAAAAAAAAAAAAAAAAAAAACAAGGCAATTTGTCGCGCAGACATTTATAGAAAATAATGAGGGAGATGGAGATGGCTAAAGCCCCATCACGTGTATTAGTGCAGTTGTGCTCAGTTATTGGGCATTAGGTCACTCCCCCTCGTGGCTGCTGAGGCTCAACCTCATGCCTTTCAACCGAAAGTGGTCCGGGACTCATGACTCAGAGACTCAGGCCACGAGCTGAGTGAGCTCCTTGGATCAGCAATCAGCTGTTATACATGTTCCTCCACACCTGTCCTGTAGCATGAGACAAAGAAACCAACAAAATATAAACTTCGTTCATTCACTTGGTCATCTGCAACATGATTTCCGACAGCGGTTCCATGATTTTCTGCCTCTGTCTTGAATCTCTCACACGTGAAATTTATTTGGATGATAGTATTACCCTCGGAGCAAGGACGCGATAATACTCGTCCCTGACTCTTAATTACGGGTGGGCACGAAACCGGTGGCATCATTCAAACATGCGAAATTAGTTTAGATCAAACCAAACCAAACAGTAATTAGTTGGTTTCTGAAAAGAACCTAAATGTAATCAGTGATTAGCTTAATCACTACTATTAGCTTTAAAAGATTAATGTGTAATTCGGTTTCTAGTTATTAAGCAGTGGCTGGATGTTTGGGTTGTATAAAAAATATTATTACAAAAAAATAGGAGGTTCTCTCCATCGTCTTCTTCCTTCATTCCCTCGCCATTTCTGATCTCGAATTAGGGATAGGACCTCTGAGGTCTTATCAGTTTCGTTTGATTTGGTCAAAGAAAACCGACTAAACCAAACTAATCCGTATATACTGATTTGGAGTTAATTAGTGTTAATCCATCCGTGCACTTTAGGTTTTTAACCCAACATTTGCGGCTTTAATAGTTTTTGAATTAACTTAGGGCTCGTTTGGAACGCCGTATACAGTACCGGATAAAATTAATAGTACAAAACCAGTTGTTTGGTGCAGTTTCGTATTAAATAGCCGGCCGACTAATTATCCGGACTCACTTATTTTATCCGGTCTATACCTGCTAACTACTACACTCCAAATGGGAAGGATAATTAGTCGGCTTCTTCGTCTCTCTCTTCGTTCCTACTTCTTTTTCCTCCAACCCAAGGTCTTTCCTTCTACTCAACCAACCATGGCAGCAATCGGAGTGATTCCGGCAGTCATTTCAAAGCCAATTGCCGCCGACCCTAGTCTCCTATCTTTCTCTATTTTCCGTTCAGATCTTCGCGAGCAAAGACCATCCAGAATGTTTGGGGAGACTTCAAAGAGATTACCCAGTGCAGAGCAATCCTTATCTTTTTCCTTCCATATTCTCACCCTTCATCCATTTCATTTTTCTAATTTCAACAACAGAATAAAAACCAGAAGCCAAAAAGAAAGCAATGCCATGCCTGCGCAATTTTTTCTATTTATTTTAGTTCAAATTTTTTTGAAAGTTCAAAATCCTTGTTCAATTGCATAATACCCATTTTGAATTAGTGGGCAAGAGGGTAAGATTTGTATGGGAGGATGAGATTTGATGCGTAGTGAGGAAGATGGTGAAGAAGGGAAGTCCAGAGAAATCTGGGTTTTTTATTTTTTATTTTTATTTATTATTATTTTGTCTGTGCTATGATTAATTCTATTTGTTTCTGTTTTTCCTTAACTATTTTGCATTTTAACGTCAATTAATAAGTGAAAAATTATTATAGTTCAACGTACTATCAAATGTACAAATTAATCTGATATTACCGTAAATATCTAATTATTAATCAGTACTATCCAATACACATATTAATTAGTCAGACTGAAATAGTCACTGCAGTCTAACCTATCAAAGAAGTGCTCTCAATCAGTATCTCCTCCTTCCCACGTGCATATCATCAAATTAACCTTTAATATAACTAGATTATTACTTTGAATATCAAATGTTTGATGTTGTTAGGATATTATTTTTAGAAAGTAAATATGTTTACGAATATATAAATATGAGGTCCAATAAGTGACAAAGTTATCGCTTAGTTGACGTCAGCACGAACGTAGCTGACAAATTTGACCTCGAACTACTCGCACGTTGTTCATGTTAATTTGTATACACATGTGGAGTTTTTCATCCTAAATATATTTTGATGGTTTTTTAGAACTAATAAGTTAATCAATTTGTTTACTAAATAATAAATCAAATGCCGATGTGCGACAAAGTTGTTTAGTTGACGCAACATGGATGAGGCTGACAAAGCTGGCCTCTAACGACTCCCTGGTCATCCATATTAATTTGCACGCACATGTAAAGAGGTTTTACCGAGTCCAGTTGATGAAGCCGGTCACTGTTCAACGGTAACTTCAAAAAGATCATGTAAAACTGTGAGTTTTATTATGCACACACATATATTAATATTTTATTTATTGCATTTACAAGTAAAATTAATAGTCACAGTAAAAGGGAAAAATCTCTCTTCTAAATGTGGAGTAAAATAGTCGAGTAACAGCCTTCACATATTAAAAGTTTGTTTGAATGTGCTTCTAAAATGAATGAAAATGTTTTTGGAACCAATTCTTAGTAAAAATGCAAGTAAATTCTGAAAAAACACTTAAAGTGGTTCCTGGAATAAGCACATAATTGGTGCTTATTGCAGAAAACATTTTAATTGCTTTTAGAATAAAAAAAAACATTTTCTCTAAAAGAGCTATCAGTCATTTTAAAAGTACATCCAAATGAGCTCTAAACATGTTAAACATATGAAGTACACTTGAGTTGTTTAGGTGCCCAAAATCGTAGAGTAATCGATTTTCCAACAAATTTTGATTTAGTTTACCATAATTTGTGTGTTTTTATTGTTTCAGTTTTCTATTTTACATCATGGAATATTTCTTTGAAACTGACCGTGGGTTGGCTTATCGTTATGCTTCTTTTGTAATAGTCAATCAGGATATTCAACACGTCGATTCCCGCGGCAACATACGCTAGTTTCGAGTTTGACGAAGAGTGCTTGAACGTCATTTCAAGGAAATTCAAATCTTCAAATCAAACTCCAAATTGTAACGTTTCCCAGACAAAGCCGGATTTGATGCTCGCCACAAGTACAGGCGTTTCTAATCAATTGCTCTACCTACTTAGTGAATCTATGTGGCAACTTGATTTAGTAGGTTGGACTGCATCTTTTAAACTGTTGCAGTGGGACTGGACCCAACATAATTTCGTTGTAATGCACCGATAATGAAAAGCCCTAAAAATCAAACAATATACTTTGATTAGACCCGTATGAAGGCGATATTGGCATATCCTCGTTCTCAAAGAGAGCCGATGAATGTTTCCCAGCATTCCTTTGCTTCTTTATTATCATCAGACATAGTGTGTGTAATAGCTGCAAATTTTTTAGAGTGAAAATAGTGAGATTCTTTTATTTGTTTTTCTCTTCATTCATGCAGGTATAATAGCTTGCAAAACTGAAATTCAAGAACAAATAAGATCATCGGTAACTACAAAATAAAATGGGTAAATGAGGTGAGGTGAATAGTTAACCCTAGTTAAAGTAATGAGTGAATGAGGTTTTGTGTGACTTTGACGCATTCATTCTGTGTGGCAAAATTAACAAAAGTTGTCAATCTACGAATTCGATGTATTAAAGTATTAAATTGAGCGAAAACATACAAAGTTGTTGCCAGTGTGCACGTTCAATGCATTCAAGTATAAAATATAAAGAAATAGACAATTTCAATTTAGATACGTTTGAAACCGGCAAAAGAAATGTTTAAAAAAAATGAATAAGCGGAGTTAGTTGTTTGAGGGTAATCTATTCCTACCCCTCTTTTTGCTTGTCTCACCACTTACAAGTTTTTTTATGACAAGATTGCCCTTATGTGGATTACCTTAGAAGATAAAAACATTATTAAAATACATAGATAACAAAATAATTTGTTGATTCATTACCTGTACAGATGAACCCGACCATCCGATGGGGTAGCGTACTCTTTCTTCAGACAATCACATTTGTTCATACGATAACACGAAAGGTGAATATTGAAGAAGAAAAAAGTGTTTTTGGATGATATATTTTCATGTTGAGTTGGCTACATAATCGTCTGTAGTGTTAGTTCATGAAAAACTTGGGAACTTAACATCTTTACTACCATATTAAAGACTTTAAACCCCCTCGAGATCTCTTGAGCAGTACTCAAACCCGCTTTGAACGTGCTTGAGTCCTCTCGGGCGGTTAAAATTCAAAAATTATGCTTTGACAAGTAGTGGAGCAGTGAATTTCCTGGAGTTGGAGAAAGTTGTAGTGTTGGGGAAAGTTGTAGGGCAAACCTGGAAAATGCGAATTGGTACTAATCCCATCTATACATTGTATGCAGACTCCGAGTTTCCGAGTTTCACCATGGCATTAACAAGTATATATCTTGCAACTGTCTTTCTGCTTCATCACACTTTCCAGCTTTGATTAGCCCTGGTGCCCTAATCTTCAAGCAATGCACCAAATCAGCAGTGGAGTAAGTACAAACTTAATTAGCAGTATCTAAGTACACTAAATCAAGAATTGAAGATTTAAAATTACCAATACGTTTTTCATCAAAGCCTCGGGAGGCGTCCTAAGCTTCTCTATGACACTCTTCCGTTTTGATGAGGCTACGTACTCATTCATCATCAATAACAATGATTGTAACACGTCCTTTTCGCTCTTCAGGTACATCTCTTGCTTTCAGAAAGAATGACCTATACGATATATGTCCCTGGTAGCTGCAATGGCTCTAGGAATGGACTTATAGTTACAATTGATGATTCCAAGGACAGAGGCCAAAACCACAGATGCACCCCCCATGCCTCTCGCAATTTTTTCATTATCTCACATTCTCACTTATTGAAAGCTGTTGAGTGCTTATTAAGCGCACAAATCACAGGAAAGAAGGCCTGCCTCAGTGTGGCGCGGTGTGTAGGAAAATGAGAAGAAAGTGAGAGAGAAGAAGGGTTGAAAGAAGAATAAAGCATGGCCCCACCCATGGTGGACGGCACACGTAAAATTATAGAAGGTGAGACAGTGCAAAATCCATGAAACAATTTGTGCTTTTTGAGAATACTAAGCATGTTTTATTGGTCATAGTCTGAATGGCAGAGTTGAATATAAAGAGCATTTCAGGAGTGAAGTAAGGTATCACTTTGTTAGTTAATTAAGGCAAAGAAATCACCCTCGTGTCCTTTTGTAATACGGAATTTACTTTTTTGGCGAACTGGGACTGCCATGTGCACTCGAAAACCAAAATGCATTACACATTAATGAGGCGCAAGGAAGAATTTTGCAGAAGGAAACGGCAATATCAGTAGTCTAGAAGCTGGCATTACAGTCTCTCTAACCTTTATATACATATATATACATGTGTATGTGTGTGCCAGGGCCAGGCCATTTATACCTTTTCCTGTTTCCTTTTCTAATGAATAACTAGATACTTTGCTTTCCTTGGAAGATAAGAAATCACAATAAAACACTAATGGATTAGGTTCTTGCTTCTTATCTAGGAGAAGAATTAACTTCTCGGACAGCTTGAAAAGGCACCCAAAAACGCAAACAGTTTGTTCACCCACCTTGCAAGACTTAAATCAGAATTATTTGACATCTTTTCCGTAGTATCAATTATAGCCTTCCATGTCCACCTTTTCCAAATAGGTGCCAATCACATGGTATCATCCTTTTTACTTCTACGTTTCACAAATTTAGGGTAACATTAACGTAAACGAAAAATCCTCACTGGAAAAAACATGGTGAACTCTTCCAAACTTTCCAGAGCGAGAACTATGTATGGAGCAATGGCAATGGCAACTGCGGTCTTTGCCGGCATTTATGTTGCGCGGACTTACATATTTGGTGCTAGGAAAGAAGAGGCTCAAGGTCCTAGACTTACGAGGTCCATGTCCATCGCATTCCTCCATGGAGGGCAGCTGGCCTTGCAGAGATTGCTTGAATATCATGAAGCTCGAGCGGATAAATCAGCAGTGGAGATAGCTGAATGTGAGTTGAGGACTCACCTTGTGGAGCAACGCCCTGATTACAAGAAGCTGCAGGTTAGGTATCTCTATATAGAAATAGTCCTTAATGGCATGATGAATTTTCAAGTTTATTGATCGAACTGGTGTTTTCTCTTAATCTATTGTCCTTACGTACGAAAGTCGATTGTTGCGAAGCTTGAAATGAGTGGAAAAGAAGCCAAGGCAATTGAAATATTGAAGAAAGCAATAGCAAAGGCGCATAACGAAGGAAAAAACCATGAAGCATATGAAAATGAGATGCTACTGGTGGAAATGCTTATATACAAGGTTTGCACTTCGAAATTTACAACATTCCGAGAAAAACCATGAAGCATATATAAATCATATGATGATTGATGTGCCTTGTAGGGTGATTTTGAGGAGGCGCTAAGCCGTGAATGCTTGCAGCATGTAGAGATTTCAGATGCAAGGCGTCCGCTGTACAAGGTCGGAAAAACTTTCCCAAAATTATTTTATGGGCAACCATTCAACCCCATATAGTTTAACATGATTAAAATTGTGTTTAAAATTGACAGGCTATTATTTACATCATGTTAAAGCGCAACAAGGATGAAATTATAGAATGCTGGAAAGAGTTTAACGCTCTAAAAGAACTCCAAAGTTTGCCTAGTGACAATGAAAGCTTGGAAGAAAGCCAAATTCATAAACTCAGTACAAATTATGAGGAGTTCGAGAAGGTCGTCAACATGCTCAGAAATGACATAGAGGGGCAAGCAAGGAAGAACAAGAAATAAGAGATGAGCTTTTCACTAGTAAATTTCCCTTTGCTGTCAGAAAACAAAGGGAAAAATAGAAAGCAGTCACACTTACAATACAGTGCACGTGGAAGTGATAAGTAATCATTTTGTAATCTTTCTAAAGTTCATTACAAATTTCCAATTAACCAAGAATTACCTTTTATTTTTTAGTCAAGAAATCGGAATGGTGTTATAAGATAATGTTCTCTTACCAAATTTAATTTCGATAATATATTCATATAAAAATTAACTTACTCAATGACTTGCTAAGCTGTTTAAGAAAATAATGTTTCTGATGTATGTAAAGAAAAAATAGGCGTACTTGGATTCCTCAAGACGACAGTACCAGTGCCGTCGCAGTTTCATGGCAAAATGAGGCACAGTTGAACCAAGAATTTGGTAAGAAGCATGAACCACCGTCTACTAACTCCTTGCACCTTAGCAATGGTGATCGTCCACCACAAACTAATTCAAGTGTCCTGCATATCCATCAAATTTATAATGTGAAGCTTGTGGTTTAGGTCCTGGTCCTGCGAGACTGTAATCGGCAAAAGGACAATATCAATCGTGTTGTCGTTTCATCATATGGTAGTATGCGTTGTCGAATGAGGCATGGTGCACTAAAATAATTTACCTACTCCTTATCATATGTAAGTGTGAAAATTGGTTTTACAATATTCTAAGTATGCAAACTAAAATATAAATCAATTTACTTATATTTTGAATTCTCACTTAGATATCTTTTCCATACAAAGTTATTACAATATTCCATAGAGAATATCAACGAAATACGCAATAAAATTAGCTTAGGTGAAAGCGTAATCACTAGTTTTAATTAGAAAATTAAATTATGTCGGGGTTTAAATAAAGAAAATTGAATTTTAGGGGGTTAAAGTAATATTTTCATTAATTTTATTATTACTATTTATTTGTACCATAATTGTGTAGATGATATTTGAGGTGGACATTCACATCAATGTTTATTCAATTAAAAACATTTGAAGTGGACCACATTATTTAAATTTATTAAATTTATTATGGTTTGAGTAATTTATGAACTTTGTTATTAATAAAATGCTACGATTTTTTTAATAAAACAAAATGGAAGGTCATCGTCTTGAAAAGTACAGGTCCAAGAGAAATTCGATTCTAGATCAACCAATGAAGTTCCAACTGTTCTGATCAGAATGTTCTGGTGGAGAGTTTGTTTGGGTGAGGCTCAAATGGTGGAGAGTTTGTTTGGGTGAGGCTCAAATGGGGCTCAAATGGTGGAGAATTTGTTTGGGTGAGGCTCAAATGGTGGAGAATAATGCTGCATTCGTACATATGTTTTGACATTTTGTATTATAATAACAAGGTTCTAATTCACACACTTGCACTCCTATTTGTTTTATTAAGTTTTAATTTATTTGTATTTTTTTATATTTTTTTATCGATTCGTCATCTTTCAACATGCACACCTTCATTTGGATCTCTATATAGACACTTTAGAGTATATTTTTTTTAATATATGTGATTATCCACCTTAATTGCCACAAAAATCATTTTTAATTGATGTGATTATCAAAGGAATACAAATCAAGGCGAGCAAACTTAAGGGAATTTTATGGGGAAAGCAAGGTCCACTCCTCTACTCTTTCAATCAAAGTTGGTGTGTTTCTCTCTGCTCTACCTCTTCACCTCTCTGTTTCTAGCTCTCTACACCTCTCTCTCCCAAACCAAATGCCTCTTCAGATCTTCCCCCTTCGACCCAATTCAGGCCCCTCTCTTCTCCTACCCTTCCACCTACGGCGAGCACAAGTATGCAATCCCAACCCACCGCACCTCTTGCTCTTCTCCCGTCTATTTTTCAGGTAACACTCCCCTTTTTTAGCTCAATTTTTCTTCAATGTTTTTGCCTTTTGCTAATTTTGATTCTATATTCCACCAATTGGGTTTTGTTTTTGTGATCAGAATATTGGATGGTCTTGAAGGAGATCCAGAATTTGTGTAAGAATTCTTCGTGGTCACCGTCGGTTTTGAGGTATTTGCAGGGAAAGGCTGAGACATTTGCAGGAAATTTAAGTACCCAAGCGAGGATTCCCTATTTTGTTCATTACAATGAGAGCACTGAAATCCCTTGTGGATTCTTGAAGAAATTTCCGATTAGTGATTCTGGTTGGTTTGGCATCCAAGCAAAGTTCTATAAAGTCCATTTTTTTTTTTTCATTTAGCTACATTTGTCAATAAACATGTTTTTTTTTTTTTTTTTTTTTTTTTTGTTTAATGTAATTCAGATAGAACGGCTATGGAAAACTGTAAAGGAGTTGTAGTGGTCTCGGCGATCTTCAATGACCATGATAAAATCCGACAACCCCGAGGCCTTGGATCGGAGACCCTAGACAATGTATGCTTTTTTCTGTTCATAGATGATGTAACCCTAAAAGGACTTGACTACCATAGATTGATTCCGAGAAAATCCCAAAATTTTAAGATTGGCGCGTGGAGGGTTGTGAAAGTTTTGAGCAAGAAATTGTATGAGAATCCTGCAATGAACGGTGTGATTCCAAAATATTTAGTCCATAGGCTTTTCCCAAACTCGAAATTCAGCATTTGGATCGATGCGAAGCTGCAGCTAGTGGTCGATCCGTTGCTGTTGATTCATTCGCTTGTGGTGTCTGACAACGCAGACATGGCGATTTCGAAGCATCCTTACTATGTACATACTATGGAGGAGGCAATGGCGACGGCGAGGTGGCAGAAATGGAGTGATGTTGATGGATTGAAGAGGCAGATGGAGACTTATTGTGAGAATGGATTGCTTCCTTGGACCCCCAGCAAGCTGCCTTACCCCTCAGGTAACCAAAGCACTTGCACATAATTAGTGTATTTCAAATCATCTCATCTTTCAACGTTTTTAGTGTTTTGTTTTTGGTTGAAAGCTTCCACACATGATATCATTTTAATGATGTTGCTTTGTTTTACAATTGTACAAAAAGCTTTAGAAGCTAACTTGGCAAGTTGATGAATTTCTTAAGGGTAGTAACTTTCACGCTCTCAGTTTAGCTTGTAGCACTCTCATAAATGTATAAAATTATAGAATATTCAATTTTCAATGTTAGAAATTACATTGGGAATGCCAAAGTCGCTAACTTTTCCTAAATCGAATTTTACTAAATGGTCTTAGGAGACTAATTAAACTTTGAAGTACACTGCCCCTCGTGTTTCCTAAGATTATAAAATGCAACTATTAAGATACTGGTTTTGGTGTTTGAGAGTAAGCTTTTGGCTGAAGAGAATGTGAGAAGTTGAAGCCGTGGGATAGTAGATGTACATGTTCTACGGTTTTTAAGATTAAAAAATTTGACTACTTAGTGTATAAATACAACTGTCAAGGTTTTAAGATTATCAAGTTGAACTACTTGGTCTGCCCAAAAGAAGAAATGAAAAGATTAATGGGATGACTTGGTGTTTACATAGACTATGCATTGTACAAGTCACATTTGCATAAGGTTTAGACTCTAAGGGTGAGTTTACAAATACCCAAATTTCTTAATTGGATCTTCTAAAACCTATGCAAACAGCGCTAAGATGTTTCTTCTCTTTCACTCCTTGTTATAACTTATTTTCTCTTTGTAAAAACGAAAAATACGTTTTGAATATGTGGTCCAGAAATAGAAAGAAACTGTGTGATCCAGTGTGGTCCAAGCAAGCAACTTGCAGTCCATGGCAGGGTAGAAGAAAAATTTTGGTGTAACTGGAGGATGTATCCTCATCTCTCAGTCTCACTTGTCACGTAATGAATGAGATAGAAATATGAAAAGTGTAGCTTTGTATTACATTATTTCTTTGCATACAACGTCATGCAACGAATGAGACAGAAATACGAAAAATGTAACTTCATATTACATTATTTCTTTGCATACAACAGTATAATTTCACATATAACTTAAATATTAATTTGTGAGTTAGTGAGGCAGACATACAAACGAGAATTCACTAGTGTTCTTGCTTACTTTCTTTCCCTTGTGTTTACATAAATTTTGGAGGCTGTTCATGCCAATGTGATTAATCATCTCTTTCCTATTCTACAGTACAACAAAAACTTTCCTATCCCTTGTTCTATATCACTCTCGTCTCTCTCTCTATGACTCTTCATGTGACGAGAGAGGTAGATGTATCACTCTCGTCTCTCCCTTGTGTTTACTTTCCTGCAGTACGAGAACTAACAACTTAGTTATTGGTGTTTGGCAGACGTACCAGACAGTGCTCTAATCCTGAGGAAACATGGATTGAGGAGCAACCTATTCTCCTGCCTGTTGTTCAATGAGTTGGAAGCATTTAACCCTAGAGACCAATTGGCTTTTGCATACGTGAGAGACCTCATGAGCCCAAGGCTGAAGATCAACATGTTTGACGTCGAAGTGTTTGAGCAAATTGTTGTGGAATACAGGCACAACATCAAGCGTGAAGGTGGGGACAGCGGAAGCCAAATGGGGTCCAAAGCCCCCAAAACCAAAAAGACCAAAAGGGCAAGCCCTGATTTGTTGTATGTTAATGGCAGCTGCTGCAGCAAGTGCCAGAAGTATCTTTTGGAGATGTGGGGTGAGGAGAGTTGATTTTTGTCTCTAGGAAGTGAGTCTGCATGTTCCGCTGGGGAGGAGGGCAAAAGAGACAAAGTAAGGGAACAAGACAGAAAATAAAACAAAGCTGGACAAAAACATTGGAGGGTTTTGAGTTTGACTGATGAAAACCGCCAAACAATAACAGGTTTTCCAGGGCTTTTTGCTTTTTAAAATTTGATTATTCTTTTGGTGGGCGTTGACAGGACATGTAAAATTCTGGAGAAAGCATGCAGAGGAAAAACAATAGGTTGGATCATTGGAGAGGTTATGTAATGCTACCGAATGTATACAATAATGTGTTGCATGAGCAATATAACGTGAGATGTAAATACACGGGTTTATGATGACACAAAATTTTCTCTGAAAATATGTAAAGATCCATGAATCTGTTAAAAAAACGGGCACAAGCAAAAGTTTGGTAATTTTGGTTCCTCTTTTAGTGACACTTGCAGATGCACGTATATTGTTCGTGATATTTAAATTTAGTACCTTCTTAAACAAACTAAAATTAGTAGACCTTAAGTGTCATTAAAGTTATGGGCATTACCTCAAAACAAATTACGTATCAAATTACCATAATGCAGTACTCACAAGACGCAAAAAAATATTTCATTTTTGTTTTGCATGAAATCGCTTATATATTTCTATAGTTTCGCCCAAAAAAAAAATTAAAAAAAATCGCGTATATATAAGAAAAATTAAAGAAAAAAAACTAAATCCAAAAGTACAACCACCCTCCATCCCATGCATGCAAATTCTCATTAGCCAGAAAAATCAATCCATCTGAATTTCCATTCTCTCTCTCTCTCTCTCTCTCTCTCCAAATACACAAATGTCAGCCCAACAAATCGCCGGCCACAGAGAGGGCGCCGAGATCTACCACGGCGAAGCCCTATGCAGGCAGAAGTTCCACGAGCTGCTCGACAAAATGTGCCTGCCACGTGGCCTCCTCCCCTTGGACGACGTCGTCGAGTTCGGCTACAACTCCACCTCCGGCTTCGTCTGGCTCAAGCAGAAGAAGAGAAAAGAGCACCGCTTCCGCGCCATTTCCAAAACGGTGTCGTACGACACGGAGGTGATGGGGTTCCTAGAGGAGCACCGGATGCGGCGGCTCTCCGGGGTCAAAAGCAAAGAGCTTCTGATTTGGGTCTCAATTTCGGACATCTACGTGGACCCTAATTCGGATCTGAATAAGATCACGTTCGCTAACGGCTCCGGAATCTCCAGGTCGTTCCCCGTCACGGCGTTTGGGCTTGAAGGAGAAGAGAAAAACGGTGACGGTGATGGGAGAAAATGAAAGCTTAACTGAAGCTTTTACGAGATTGAATAAATCCTGTTTATTATAGTTATCATTTCATTCGTGCAGGGCCAATTAGGATAATCACAACTTGATAATCAAAATTAAATTACGTTTCTCTCACATGTTTTGTTTTGTATTAGTTGATTACATGGCTTTGTGTTAGGATGTTTGATGAGAGATTCTTTGTGCAAGATGTCATGCCGACGCCTTCTGCAATTTTAAAGGCCTCCATTTATCTCAACTTTCAATTTTAGGTATAGAACGGTTATTTAAAGCTTTAATTTTAGGTTTTAGAATTATAGTCGAGAGCAGAAACCTGAAGTTTCATCTCTTTAAACGTCAACAGATGATTAGAAGTGAGGTTTTCTCAATGCGCCCCATCTTTGAGAAATATTGAATGTTCTTCAGAACGTCGGATTGGTTCTTTGATGTAAGGAGATGTTAACACATCAACAAAATCATCTTGCACTCATCAAAGTGAACTTTCTCGTATGGGTTGAAAATCGAAATTATTGCTCAAATAGAAAATAGCTTTTGGAGAAACATGCAGAATGTAGTAGCTGTTGTTGCTAATTTTTAGTTTGACCCCCTCTAATCTAAATATGTTTATGAATTTCGTGGAGTAACATTAACACCAACTGCAGGACACGGTTAATTAGGCTGAAGTGGTACTTATGAGGTTTGATTTTAGCATCTAATGCACAATTGCTAATTGCTGGCTAGGTGCAACGTTCATTAAAAGAAATATCCAGATTAACATCTAAAAATAAAACTAAAGTAAGATAGTCATATCAATTTATTGTTTACTAAAATTTATTTTTCTTTTCTAAATATGCAGTATATTTGATATTGTTTTAACTTGATGAATAGTTGTACAATACCTTTTTATTTAGAAATATATAATCCAGAAAAAGGTAAATCGATTCAAAAAAATTGTGAGTGATTTTCACACTCATGTTTTTTCCATCTGCATTCTTCTTGCTCGTGTCCTTGTATTATCCCTTGATTTGAGCATATGTGCGTGTTTCTTTAATTGTTAATCTTTAAAAGGATTGGGGACCAAACTCCAAAAGTCCCTTAATTAAAAAAATTTGGATGTCTAAAGTGTGTAGATTTGAGCAGCTAATTCATGCTAAAAGACGACATTAATCAAAGCATTAATGTACAATTAGAGTGTATTAGGAAGCTGAAAATCTAGCCAGATTCAAGGCCCGTTTGGTACAGCTTTTAGGATTCTTTAACCCTAAACCCTGGAAATCTAGCCAAGTTAGGTTTCTGTTACTTCAGTAGCAAGCAACTTGCAGCCAGAGCTTTGCATACATTATAAATCCAAATCCTGCATTCCATTTCCTCCCACCACCAGCTCTTGATCCTTCCCGAACAATTCCATTCTCAAACATGTTTTCGAAGGGGGGTTTTCTCCCATTTCGGGGTTCTCTTGTGGACTGGCTGGCATTAATCAAAACTCATCGAAGCAATGCAGAGACTTACCACGGTGAAGCTCTGTGCAAGCAGAAGTTCCATGAGCTTCTGAAGGAACTGTCTCTTCCCAAAGGCTTCATCAGGGCAGACATCGAGGAGATGGGCCACCACCAGCCATCAGGCTTCGTGTGGCTGAAACAGAAGAAGACAACGCACAAGTTTAAGAGCATTGGCAAGACCGTCTCTTACGATGATGAGCTGACAATGCTGGTTGAGAAAGGTAGGATCACGAAGCTCATTGGTGTTGCCAGTAAGGAAGTATTCGTCTGGATTTCCGTATGTGAAATCTACTTCGATGATCTCTCTTCAGACAAGCTTACCTTTAAAGTTCCCACTAGCCTGACCGCAACATTCCCGGCTTTGGCATTTAAAGACAAAGATGAACAGGATGACGGTGAGCAATGAAGTGTTCGCTTAGCAAACATTCTTGAGGGAAAATCATAGGAGGAAACTTGGCCCTAATAATTGTCCCAAATCCGTCACTTCTAACTTCTCATTTGCGCTGAACTTCAATCACTCAAATATACAGGCGTGCAGAGTCCTTCAGTCCAGCAACAATTACAAGCAGCTAGACTCACAAAGAAGCAATATATTGGAAAGTTGACATCCTTTCATGAAATGGACGCTATTAGCATTGCAAGCAGGTGCACTATCCCATTCAACTCTTGATGAAGTTCCATTTGCCATTCTCTGATAGAATTCATCATGAGCCAGGCACTTCCACGCAATCTTTTCTTGTTTCTCTTTCTTCCCTTAGCTTATAGTTCCGAACCCCAACGGTTTTGAAATCCCACAGAATTTCAGATATCTCATCTTGAGGCAAAATTAAACCATCTCGTTTAATTGATCTATGCAAGGCACAAAAGAATTTTGGGTTTTCAAGTCTGATGTAGTCACGTAAGAGCCGCTCATGATCCGGGACCCAATTTCTAGGAAATGGAGAGTAATCACAAGATGGAATCAGGGACATGTGTGAGAACCGAACACCTTCGATTGCATCAACAAGTCCCACCCTCAGTAGATCAGAATATTCGGGTGCAGAATTGTTGCTGCTCTCCCTCAGTGGACGACTGAGATCACGTGAAGCTATTCCATACACCTTGGCTCGTGATTTTAGTCTATATCTTGCAGCGTACAGTTTAGCCAAAGAACTACGAATAACATAGGCACAAAACCCAACAACTTTCTTGCGATTATCAGCATACTTGTACCAATCAGCCATGGTCTCTAACAACTTATTCATCTGGGAATTTGTATGAGCTTGACCAGAGTAAAGCATTGGAGTGCAGGGCAGTGGCTCAGGATCTTTATCGCCCTTAACAAACTCAAGCCGCCTGAATTGGCGAATACATTGTTGTAAGCTAGCAGTAACCGAAAGGAGAGTCCCCACCCCTTTTTGGCTCACAACATTGCCTCCAGAGGCCGTGTACCTAAGCGTGGGGTGTATAACCCTTCGGGAAATTATATGGTCTAAGAACTGAATTCCCCTAGTTATGTGTTCAATCTCCACCTTGGAGTTATCCAACCTTATCCCGAATCTTCTCCCACAGAACTCAATTATTTGCTTACGAATATCCACCGCATCCTCTCTAGGCCCTCGAATACCAATCAAGAAATGACCCCCGTATCGAATATAATCCATTTTTCTAGTTTTCTCACTCCCACTAGAAGGAACAAACTCCGGCCAAGACGGGTTATGACAACCATCATTTATCGAGTTTTTCCATATACAATCGAGACTAGATGGCTTAAAAAACTCAACTATCTTACCCTCCATAACTTGATCCAATTCATTAAGACAAACATTAGCAAGTAAAGGACTCAAAATTCCACAATGTCCATAAGAAGGTACCTTAGCAGCTTCTTCAGGTGCAAAGTTGAAGAACGTCCTCAACCAATACGGGTCCGGCTTTGGCTCCTTGTCGTTCAAAATCTTCTTCTTCTTCTTCGCCGCTTTCTTCTTCTTTTTGTTCTTCGGCCATTCGCCATCACCATCACTCTGTTTTCGATTTGGTGCTCGGACAGCCGATTGGATCAAACCCAGTATTTTCCTGTCTCTCACGGCTTGCTCTAAGCAACCCATTACACAATTCCTATCCACATTGTCAAAAATCTCACTGATATCTCCTTTCAGAAACCACAAGTACCCGGCGAAGTTGCTCCGGATGGTCCGAATAACCGTGTGGGCATTCCTTCCGGGTCGAAAAGCGTGGGACTTTGGCGAAAACCGGGCCTCGAAAACAGGCTCCAGTATCATCAAAAGGACCTCCTGAACGACCCGGTCTTGGAAGCAGGGCTCGTCAGACTCGAGCATAGCCTGGAGCTTACGCTTGGATACCATCTCTTTGCTGGGTTTGTCATTGGGGCTTCGGATATACTGCTGGGTCTTCTTGTTCCAGGAGAAACTCCCCCGAACGACGGAGTTTCGGAGGGAAAGGAGGTCATGGAGGACGTGAGAGTGGATAGCGCTGCGGGGCGGGAACGTGCCGGTCACGTGGGCGCAGGAACGCTGGTAGGCCAATACCCAGAGGTCGAATTTGGAGAGGAAGCCGGTGAGGTTGGGGAAGGCGATGGTGGGCGGGGAAGAGAAGGCCTTGACCCACAGAGAAGAGCAGATTTCGATTGGGTCTTGCTTGAGGAGCGAGTAGGGATCTTGCTGGTCTAGCTTTGAAGGCGGCGGCTTTGGCGACTGCGGCGGGGTGGAGAGCGACCATGAGAGAGAGCGAGTGAGAGTTTTGAGGATTGCGGAGCGGTGGCACTCCAGGTGTTTGATGGAAGTTCTCACTGACATTTTGTCGTTGCAGGACATAGAGAGTCCGAGACACTCTTCCCTTCTCTTTTGGTTGGTTTGGGACCGTTGGTAATTCACTATTGAAGCTGAATCTCTGTCTTTGAGCATGGGGCTTGGGTGTGTGATCGGATGGGCCTTGTTGGTCTGGGCCATAGTTTCTTCTTCGAGCTAGTGTATAATGAAGTTTGGACCCAATGCTTAATTGGATGCACTAGGCCCTTAAAATGGGCGAGATATGCCACATAGGCCATATCTAAAGGCTGAAGCTACTCATGTGTTGTTTTTTTTTAGTACATCGATATTTTTGCATTAGGAGGAGAGGGAATTCGGTTAAGCAACACAATAGATAACCTAATTCGGTATCGAATTCGTCATCCACAACTGTAGTACTGAGTGACCACCCATTACTAAATGGGCCCTTAAATGAGAAAGTAAAACTATTCAAGTAATATAAAGGTTGCCCAAACAGTTCCCGGCTTTATGTCATTGTCTCGTTAAATTGTTTATAGGTTTACCTACATAGAATAACAACTTAAATTATTATATTTCTTCAAATCCATGGGCTTATTAAACATTGGTATTTGAAGCATTTCCTTTCTCGTCTTCCTTAATGTTTACTAAAACACGTGAAATGAATCACTAGAGGGCCAACGTGTTCTACTTACATGTAATTCTTAAGTCAAAGTTTCTAATTTACATAATTTTTAAATCAAGCGCAAAATCAAAATTTAACGGTTTCAAAATTTCAAAATATTTCATACTCCGAATGCCATAGAATTTTCGCTACCAAAATGTGAAGGCTAGAGCTAATGTATAATATATATATATATACACACACACATACATTGTATAAGGGATGTATAGATTTGCACGCAGATTGACATCAAAGAAAGAGAGCCCCGTCCATGCATGGAGTTGGAGAGTATACGCTACGAAACTTCGACAACCCAAACAAAACAAAGTGCGTGCGGTGTGCCCTCCCATCGATCTCTCATGGGATTCATACGATGCATATATATTCACATGCCCTCTTCCTATTTTCCGGCGGCTTAAATTCTCACACTCACCCACCATTGACTTTCTGTATGATCTAGGACGAATCAAACATGCCCAAATCTGTATACATGTGTGTGTGTTTGTCAAAAGCTACAGACATTTCAGCAACATTATGCCTCAACATGCGCAGTATATTACTAATTAATTCATTAATCAAATTTCATACATTAAGAAACTAAGGTGAAAAAAAGACGCGTTTTCTTATCATATCCATACCATTTTTTCCCTAGTCCTCGGATTGGAAGCCCTTGCATTTTACGCGAAATCCTATCATCTTGTGCGAATTATTCTTCAATTAATGAATAGCGTAACATTTTCATAAAAAAAATATGAAATAACATAAAACACAGAGAGAAGATGTAATTCATATATACCTATATACTGATATAGGCTAACAATAAAGTGTTTTACAATTGATGTTCCCATGGGCCACCTTATTTTACGAACCCTAGCGCTTCAAGCAAAAAGGCGGGTGACAGATCCGAAACAGAATTCACCAAGAAAATCATAAAGAAAGTAGAAAACCAACAGAAAAAGTACTCATCCAGTCCATCGATCTTCTTCGTCATTTGTTTTCATCGTCGCGTGGCACGCATGCACGTGCGCGGGAACAAACTGAAACAGCGGTGGTTTAGGGTTTTGCAGCAGTGGGAGCGAGGTCGCAGAAGAAAGCGACGGAGTTGGGGTACGCATTGTGGCAAGGCGACGAACCGGAGGGCGGGACGAAACCCTTGGGCAGCATCACCGAGAACGGCGCCGTTTTGAAGTCTTTCTTGGTCGTCGTCTTCTTTCTCTTCTTATTCATGTTCCTCTTGTGCCTCATCTTTCTGTTCTTCTTGATCGGTTCTTGTTTGTCCATTTCAAACGGCGGCGTGTTCTTGATGTAGAACACTGCGGCGGCCGTGGGTATGGCGGCTGTTGGGGTTTGGGGTTGGATTTCGTGGGGTTTTGGTGATGCGGAGGTGGATGAGGAGGAGGAGATGAGGGCGGAAGAGGAGGGGGTGCGGAGGAGGAAGAGGAAGGTGCAGATCATGCAGTAGAAGGTGATTTGACTGTTACTGAAACCCATGAGAGACTTGAGAGAGTTGAGAAGAGATGGGTTCTTGGTGAATTTATGATGAAGAAATGAAATTTGGAATTTGAGAAACGTGTTAATCCCAAGAAAGCTTACATTATATATAGCCAAGACCTAAACACCTGTGTGTTTAAGAAATAAAGGGATTAGTGGGATGCTTAAATTAACGTAGATAAGTGACATTTTAAACATTTACGTTTGTTTTGTTTTGCTTGGGGTGCTAATTAGAAATAAGTAACGCTACATTTAGCTATTTATTTTACGTTTGTCATATTTTGTTTGGGGTACTATTTAGAAACGAGTAATGCTATACTTATTATCTATTTATATCATCATTTGTACAATCTCATTAATATAAATGGCCCACCACCACCACGCAGTTTTGTTCAGAAATTCATTTGTTTTAAAAACAATACTACAATTTCCATCTATTTATATCATCTATGTAATAGAGGTAGCGCTCACTAATAAATGTAGATTATATCTCTAATGATATAAATGATAGTATAAATAGATATTAAGAAGAGAATTTTTTTTGTTTTAATTCATTGGTTGTTTTGACGACAAACAACATTCTGAGCCGATGATCAAGGAATTTGAGCTCCGTTGTGGTTATACAGAGTTCAAGAACAACTAGAAACCTCATCAGTGGGATTACTTGCCCGAAGACGGAGAGTGCTACTGTTTGGTAGGGAAAGCTTTTCGATAGCGTGACCCGCCCTACTACAGAGAGCCGACTTCGACCGAATCAAATAATCTCATTGCTGTCAAATTGGCTGACCAACTGATATTGCCAAGAACTATTATTTAAATTTATTTGCTATTTTTATTTTTATATTTGTTGGAATCTAGTTTTATAGTCAAGAATTATTATTTATTTTCATTTTTGGTGGACTTCTGAGTCAACTCTCGCAACGTTCCGAACACGTCCAATGGAAATTGCCCGTCATGACGTGTCCTCGTCGTGACGTGTTCATCCAACGGTCAACAATAACTCTCTCTCTCTCTCTCTCTCTCTCAAAAACTGGAGAAAGGAGGAGCTTTCACTCCTGAACGATCGCTAATCGCCATTCTAACATTCCCGCGAATCCAATTCCGCGCGCCCAATTCTCACGATTCCAAAAACCAAAATCCAACATTTTCCCTCATTTTCTCGCGAAACCAGATTCCGGCGGGGTTTCAATCCAATTCGCCGCGCGGTCCCTCTCAGCCTCCGATTAGAGGCGGAGCTGAGGACTGAGAACGGAACCCTAAGGCGGCGGCGGCGACGACGACGATCGGATCGAGCATGTCGTCCAAGTCTCTACCTTACTCCAAGAGAGATGTCCACTACGACAACGCTAAGTTCCGCCATCGCTCCTTCTTCAAGGTCTTCCATTCCTCAGATCTCTTCCATTTTCTCCCGTTCGTTGACTTCGATTCATGATTCCGATTGCGATTACTTCTGTAAATCGATTCAATTTATTGTCTGTTCATCGGGCTGAAATTTTAATTTTCTTGCATTCTGGATTAATATTGTATGATGCTCCTCTGTTTTCAAGTTTCGATTTTCAACGAATTTAACAGCTAAATTTATGAATACAATCACAATTGAATCATAATCTTCTCAATTTTTCATATGGCTGGTGTAAATTCTTTTGCTTTCTAAATATCCTGTAAAACCAATTAAGTTTCTATTTCTTGTTTCCCAGGTGATAACTCAAACTTTACAGACCAGTAACGTAAAGAATCACTGCATGAGTTGTAGTACAGGAAAGTTTCTACTTTTACTAATGATATTCGGTGTAGCGTATCTTATGCTTACACATACAAGTTCCACCACTGATGGATTAGTGAAAAGTAGTAAGAATGGTACGGAGCACATTAAGAGTGGCAGCATTAGGTTTGGAAATATTTTCAGAAAACCACCGAGGCTTCCTCCTCAGTTACCGCCTGACGAGAAAGGTAGTCGTGGCAACATTGGTCTTGATCATAAGAAGTTAAATTCTGACCCGAAATGGATAGCTAGGCAACAGAATGTCAAGAAGGCGTTTATTCATGCGTGGTCGGGATATAAAAAGTATGCAATGGGTTATGATGAGTTGATGCCCGTGAGCAAACAGGGGGTTGATGGGTTAGGTGGTCTAGGTGCAACTATTGTGGATGCTCTTGACACTGCGATGATAATGGGTGCTGACGAAGTTGTTTCTGAAGCTGGATTATGGATTGAAACACACCTTTCAAATAAGATTAATCAGACAGGACAAGTCAATTTATTTGAAACTACAATACGTGTTTTGGGTGGTCTTTTAAGTGCATATCATCTGAGTTCTGTGGAAAATGGGATGGACCCTACACATAAAGGACCTAAGCCAGTTGTTTATCTAGAAACTGCTAAGAACTTGGCTGATCGTCTACTAACTGGCTTTACTTCCAGTCCAACTGCTATTCCTTTTGGTGATATTGTTCTTCGAGATCCTTCAGCGCATCCAGCTCCTGATGGTCTTAGTAGTACTTCAGAAGTCTCTACTTTGCAGCTTGAGTTCAATTATCTAAGTTCAGTTTCTGGTGATCCAAAGTACACTGTGGAATCTATGAAGGTCTTGGAACACATAAAGACTCTACCTAAGGTGGAAGGACTGATACCCATATTTATAAGGTATGAGTCTGAAATATTATACTAATACTTACATCATTATTCTTTTCAATTTCTTAATTCTTGTTCATAAGTCTAGCATCGTGTTGACATTGTCCTTGTACTGAGGAGTGCCTTTCTGTGTCATTAGCGCTGCAGAAAATGATTTGTAATTTTGTATTTTTCTTCGATGATGATTATTTATTGCATGCATTATATTATGGTATGATATGTAGGTTGATTGAAACATTTATATAGTTGGGTCTTAGAAATTAAAATGTAGAGCTGGGAATATGAAAAGGCCCCCCTATTGCTTAATGAAGAATGAAACATATGTAAGAGTGTACTTCTTTGTTCTTTTATGAGAATTTCTCACCTGGTTGATTCCGTGTAGCCTATATATGTAATAACTTAAGCAGTAAAAGTTATCCCTTCGTCTTCCTTTTTTGGACAATGGTGGTCCATGTGTTTAAACACTTATAATATGAGTATTCTTATCGAGGAGGGTGCTGAAAGATTACTGATTCTAGTAGTGCCCTAGGTCTCATGGATACAACTTTTGGTGGATATTTTGAATTATTATTCGTTTTCCTCACAAACAAATGTATTTATTTGTTCTTGTGAGTTGAGAGTGTGTGTTTTCTTTAAGTTTCTATTTTTTAGCAAAATTTGTTTGGGAGTTGGCGTCTCCCATGTTTCGTCTTGATTTTCTCCTTGTTTATTAGTTTAATATCTATTTTTTTGTTAATGTTGTCTATACTATCTGTAGCCCTAGCACTGGTGAATTTGCTGGAGAAAATATAAGACTGGGATCTCGTGGTGACAGCTACTATGAATACCTACTGAAAATTTGGCTTCAGAAAAATCGGGAAAGTAATTTTACGTATCTCCGTGATATGTACGAGGAAGCAATGAAGGGTGTCAGACACCGTCTTGTTCAGAAATCAATCCCCAATGGATTGGTTTTTGTAGGGGAATTGCCCTTCGGAGCTGATAGTTCTTTTAGTTCCAAAATGGACCACCTGGTATGTTATACTTCACAAAATCTTTGGCATTTAGATAGCTTATAAGTTTTTTCAAGTCAGAGAAGGAAAAGGTTGACTAGTTGGACATCATGTTGCCCCACATAGGACAGTGACGTGTAGGTGGCATTGAATTTACTTAATCAAAGTTTTGATGTCTAGCTTGATGAGAGAAAGCAATTCATACAGCCGACCCCACATAGTGGGACAAGGCTTTGTTGTTGCTGTTGTTGTTTAAGGATTCGGGTTGGGATTATGTGAGAGAAAGCAATTACCATTATTATCAGGAAACAGTCCACTGAAAATTGTGATGGCAACCTCTTTCCTCATCCTGCTATGTGAAACCTTCTAACTTATTTAATGTAAAATTGATTGTTAATATTTAGCTTTATATTCTTTCCAGTTGTAAGTATTTTGCACAACCACAACATTCATGTATGTTTAGCTTTTTGTGGTACCTGGAAAAGCACTTACCTGTCACTAGAATGATGATCGGCATCCTTGCTCTTTTGAAAATGGGTCTTAATGTGACATTTTGTACTGCCTTTTGCAGGTATGTTTCTTGCCTGGCACTCTTGCACTTGGGGCCACGAAAGGCCTTACCAAGGAAGAAGCGATGAAAAATAATATGCTTAACTTTGAGGACCTAGAAAATTTGAAACTTGCAGAAGATCTGGCTAAAACATGCTTTGAAATGTATTCAGTAACCTCTACTGGTCTTGCTCCAGAAATTGCTTATTTCCATACAAAGGTTAGTTTTGGATCGGTTTTGAGTTGTTTGGGAAGAGATCCATGAACTTATTATCATGTTTTTTGGTTTTTTTTCAACTTTATATTGTCTATATTGTACCGGTGGACTTGACAACTCTTATCAAAGCAGGAATTTTCTGAAGGTGGTCTTGATGGTGGTAACAAGAGTTCTGAATATATGAATGACATAATCATCAAGCCTGCTGATCGTCATAATCTCTTGCGTCCTGAAACAGTGGAATCATTGTTTTTCTTGTACCGCATCACAGAAGATCCAAAGTATGCTTTTACTTTCTTTCTTATGTATCAATCCATTTCAAATCCCCATGAAGAACACATGCGTAGGGGATAAGTCATAACCCCTTCTGGAGCACTTTCACTTACGTACTTGCACATTGCAGATATCGTGAATGGGGTTGGCAGATTTTTGAAGCATTTGAGAAATATACCAGGGTTGATACTGGTGGATACAGTTCTTTGGATGATGTGACTTCAGTTCCTCCTCATAAAAGAGACAAGATGGAGACGTTCTTTTTGGGCGAGACTCTGAAGTACTTGTACTTGCTGTTTGGAGATAGTTCTGTTATTCCATTGGATAAGTTTGTTTT